CACTACTAGATAATTGTGACCATGCGATGAACTTTGAACGGTGATGAGGGTAGGCGAAATCACTGTTCATTTTCGCCTATAGGAATTTTGTAGTATAAATCAACTAGATATTATACCTCTCTCGGGATTTACAAATGAGTCCACTAGAAATATCTCTTCACAAGATCCAAAAACCAACTCTTTTATCTTCAGTCTATTTTATTGATCTAATCTAAAACCTAATTCGCTCCCTAAGAAGTCCTTATTGATGTTAAATATTTTAATTTTACTCCTCAAATCTCACAAAAAACTTCAAGTGAAAATGAAAGCACACACAGAAGAAAAATGATCTCAACTTAGCCCAATGTTTCAAACTATTGCACCTTATTTTCAACTTAAGGTTACAAATGAAGAAGACAAACTTATATAAGAGTCGTCCCAAATATGGGTGGATGCTAAAAACTATGCCTAATTGTCAAATAATTCATTAAAATGAATTAAAGAGTGATTTTCGTTTTTTGACCATAATGACCATTTTGCTCCTCCATACTTTTGTGGAAATGGCAAGACCATCTCTAAAAAGGGGCATCTTGCCTTCCCTATAGTTCAGGTCCATTTTCGGTGCTTTTCGACGACATTTTGAGCAATCCAATGTCGTAGAAACGTTGGTTTTTTCGAGACGATTTATTTGATATGCATTTTGAGGCTTGAACCAAATTTTTTATGATGAACTCAAAATCATGTCAAACCTGTAAACTTGAAATCTTCAATATTCGATTTTGCCCATTCTGTCGCATTTTTTATCATGTTTCTTATCACAAATCGAAAGGGAATTCGTTGTGATTGATTTGCGAAGAAAACCCCTCAATTTGGAGTCCATTTGATAATGTCTCTATTTTTGAAGTTCGTTGAAATCTTGAGATATGGTCGTCGGAGTGACGACAGACGCTGCTGAATTTTCCTACATTTTTTTCACTTTTAGCGAAATTCTCTCTAAGACTTCTCCTCATCCGGGAGACCCATAGTACGTGCCACCCTCCAAAATGTAGATCTCGGTGAGATGAACATACTCGAATTTAGGGTCTACCCACTTCAAGATGAGAGAGAACCAGATTTCACAAGTTGCCCCGTTTTTTTAAAACACAGTTACCATAAATAGTAACTAGTTCAAAGGGGTTTAAGCGAATAGTAAAATCTTGTAGTTTTTGGAAAGTAGGATCTAGAAAGGTCCGTTTGAGCTTAAATTTGGCAAAGTGACTATTTTTGGTTTTTGAATCCATTGGTGGTGGTCACCTGGTCACTAGAAGTCTCTAGAATAGAATTCTAGCTATTGCACTGTAGGCATGCTAGGAACTTAGGCCAATAAATTGATTTTGTACCTGCTTTTTATATTCATGCCCGAATGGGACGAAACTTGGAGGGACTCCTTTGATCATCGTAGAAGACTTATGTGCTTGATTTGGGGCTGAAATGACGTCCCTATCATGGCTCTTCAAATAAGGCTTATATGTGCCAGACTTTTGTAGTCCATAGGCGTGACTGGCACCTACAAGCCTGAGTCGCAACCGCGTCCTATATTATTCACATTGGGGAATTAGTGCATTAAAAATACACACTAACAGTCTTACCATTCGTCTAGGTATTTTTCTTCTTTAATAAACCCATAAATCAAATACTTCATGAGAAATTCTAGGATGCCAAGCATAATCTTGATTTCTATTTTGTGCTCCTCATGTAACTCTAGAATATCAATCTTAATATAAAGATTTTGTGGATGTTCCTCAAACTACACAGTTTTTGCATCAGAATTTGCCCATTACATATATGATCGGTACCTGAAATCAATTATGGAGATAGTTTCGTGTCTAAGATGAAAGCTGGCACAAAATCTATGTAATTGTGAACATTCACTTCTTGAATAATAGTGTCTTCCAACCATCGCAACCTCTTATTCATTATGTTGATTTCTACTGGATACTTTCATGACTTTGTTTATACATTTTATAGTTCATGACAATAGATCATCAACCAGATGAGTAGGTTTTGTAACATTGTGATGGATGGATCTTATAAGTACTGATACCCATTATGGGCAAAATAAAAGAAAGATAGGAAAGAAATAAGTAAATCAAAACTCTCAGGGTGTACAAAGGAGTCCACTCCAAAAAGATATCTTCACAAGATCAAAAAACAAATTCTTTTCTTATCACCTTTTTTTTATCTAACAGTTACATATTTACAGAAAAATGAAACTTAAAACCTAACTTCTCTCTAAGAAATTCTAATTAATATTAAAGCTTTCAATCAATAACAAAAGAGTGACATAAACACCCCTAATAAAAATAAAGAATCCAATGCAACCCCAAATAAATAATTTCAAAAAAGTAAAATAAAAAATTAAAAAACCTAATACATACTTAGAGTATATAAATTTTTTTTTGTTAGAATTCATTGCTTTCTATTTCCTTAGTTTTCAAACCTTAAAACACATTGTGTGCGGTGAATTCATTCGAGGAACCACATAGATGACCTGAAAAATGTTGATATGGTGGAAAACTAGTAGGGCAATGGGGGTACCACATCATTGTTTAGGGAGGCCGATACCTCAACATAACGTCCTTCCCTCCATTCCCACCATTAATATGTCAAAAAAGAACGGTAGAAAATTGGTAGAATTACGTCCTCTCCATCGCTTTCCTGAAGGCATGTGGATCTACTGTCTCTCCATCCCTTTCCTGAAGGCATGTTGGATCCACTGTCTCTGCATGGCATTCGTTTCAAATGTTAAGGAATTATTTGACCTCCTTTTTACTTGGGTTTTTTTTGGAAAATTTTAAAAAAATCTTCAAGGATACACTTTCTATGTCTCTGCATGGCATTCGTTTCAAATGTTAAGGAATTATTTGACCTCCTTTTTACTTGGGTTTTTTTTTGGAAAATTTTTAAAAAATCTTCAAGGATACACTTTCTATGCAATTTACCGTCAACTTAATTTTTTCACTTATTTTTCCCCCAAAACAAACTTTCTATACAAATACCCACCAAAAGAAAAAAGTTCATGTTTTTTATGCCTTTTATGTACACAAAAATCAATTTGGCCAGATTTGACATTGACTTTCGGACCCCAGTAGCACATTGCCGGAGCGCGTCATCGCATTGCCAGACCCAATATTCTATACACTTAAATACAGGACCGCACTTACACAGTGCCGGAGCGCTTGATCCACTGTCGGACCGCACTTACACAATGCCGAGCCTTATTTTGGTAGGATAGAGGGGAGAGAGGCGTGGGTAAGGTAAAATTAAGGGAGGATAATTTAGGTATTTTTTTTATTTCTTTGTTGGTTAAGGGGGTATTTGCATAACAAGACTATTTTGGGGAAAAAGTGAAAGAAAAAATTAGGTTAGGTAAGTCGGATAAAAAATACAATTGTTAGGACGGTGTTTCTAAAGGACTGCATATGGATTAGAAAGTAGAAAGGTACAATTATTAGGACGGTTGAACTGTACATATGGCTATTTTTTTATTTCCACTTAAAATAATTTAATAGGGTGCCATTTGCATAGAGCTGAGGCTCTAAACAATCGAAGTAATATATAGTGTCGAGAAATGTGGTTTTAATACTTGAAGTCTTTGTGATATCCTTAAAATATTTTTTCATCTGTAATTATAAAACTTAGAGCTTTGTAATTATAAAACTTAGAGCTTTAAAAATAGTGTAAATCAAACAAATCTATAAAAACTTAAAAATCTTGAAAATTGACCGTCCAAATATACGTTACAAGATGCACTATTTTCAAAACTTGAAATCCATTATTTTCCTCATGTCCATGTATGTTAATGTCAAGATGATCAATTTGAGGATATTTGGGCATCAAAACAACCTCTTATAGTGCAATTTTTGAGGTGGGCTCTAATTTGTTTGTTTAGAGCCTCAGCTCTGTGTAAACGTTTTCCATTATTAAACTTCCATGCCCTTTAAAATAAGACATAGGAACCATTTGAAAATCGATGAACTTCCCCTTCTCTTCCAATTTTTGGGTTTTCCTTTTTAGTTTGAGAGTAACGAATTAGCGATGCAATAGTCGATACACCAACCACAAGCCCCAATCTTAAAGAAGTGTTTTAAAACCCTGCGCTTTCCGACCTGGGTCACGGATGTAGAATCGCTCAAAATCCGTTTCCTGTCCTGGTCCAATTCTCCTTAAAACCACATTTATTTATTTATTTATTTTCAGGTTATTTAATGTTTTTCTGCTTGTCTAATGTTGTTTTGTAGTCCCCTTTTAAATCTCCAACCCATAAACCTCTATTTTAATAGTTATTGAATCGCTCAAAATCCGTTTCGTGTCCTGGTCCAATTCTCTTTAAAACCACATTTATTTATTTATTTATTTTCAGGTTATTTAATGTTTTTCTGCTTGTCTAATGTTGTTTTGTAGTCCCCTTTTAAATCTCCAACCCATAAACTTCTATTTTAATAGTTATTTTTCTTTAGTTTTTATTTAAATTTTTTTATCACCGTTCTAAACGATTCAAGAATGATATGGATGGCCGATCTAGACCGGGATCAAGGGTGGATAATCCGCCCCACCGATCTGGTTTTTTATACACTCCTTAAAAAGCATTCTATCAGATTTGAATGGGAAGAGCATGCACTAGCCATGCTTATCTAAATTCCAGAAAGCCAACTCTGGAAACTAATCCTGAAATGCGAGAGATGAGGAGGGTTAACCCACTTCCCCAGCACAAGCCATCCTTTGCTTCTCTAACTAGGCCACCCCACCCCACCACTCATTCCCTCTCTCCTTATTTATTGTCCCTCATTTTCAAAAAAGACATGCTCCTTTCAGAACCAAAGCCAAAACCAAATCCTCATAGACACACAACCTTGTCCAAGCCACCTCGCGCCTCTGATTTTGGACCAAATTGCAACAAACAGCCCTTTTCTCTTTCTAAATACAAACCCAACCTTCCTCTCTCCCTCTGTTCATAACCACAAATCAACCTCACACACACACAGACCATGTCTGTAGCCCCCCTCCCCCTCCCCCTCCAAGCCACCTCGGGCATCTACTGGTGCTACACTTGCCGCCGCATGGTACACATCACCTCCACCGACACCCCCATCTGCCCGCGCTGCCTTGGTGGCTTCATTTGCGAAATTAATGAGATCGTTCTCATCCCACGCCTCACCCCAGACCTCAACCTCCTCCAAGCACTCCATGGCATCTTCCAAACCCCCCAACAGACGGTCCGATCCTTAAACAATCCGCACATGCCACATGGCACCCTCAGGGCCCACCCTGATGACTACTTTGTGGGCCCAGGCCTTAACGAACTAATTGAACGGTTAACAGAGAATGACCTACCAGGCCCACCACCCGCACCCAGGTCAGCCATCGATGCGATGCCAAGGGTGCAGATATCGCCAGCCCATTTGGGTTCAGACCCCAATTGCCCAGTTTGTAAAGAGGAGTTTGAAGTGAGAATGGAGGCACGAGAAATGCCTTGTAAACACTTGTATCATGAGGACTGCATCGTGCCTTGGTTGAGTTTGCACAACTCGTGCCCTGTTTGCCGGCTTGAACTGCCAGTTGCGACCGAGCCCACTCACGAGGCAAGGAGTGCAGAGGATGTGGAATTGGGCTCGGTGGAGGGGAGGGGGAGGAGGGGATTGTGGTCATGGTTATGGCCATTTAGGTGGTGGCCTAGTTGGAGTTGGCTCCATCGAGAGGGTGCCGAGTTTGGTTATGACAGGAGGAGATGGTCTTTCGATGGTGGTGAAATGGGTTATACTAGGAGGCGGCGGCTTTTCGATGATTTGTGACGGTGGATTGTGTGGTGGGTTCAAGCCCATTGGCCTGGTTGCCCCAATTAGAGGGCTGATCCATCACTTTAAGTAGCCATATAAGGTTCTTGCTTTCTCATTTGAGTCTACAAACTAGAACACATTGAGGTGGCTTGGATCCTGTATCAAACATAAAAGAGGATTGGATCAAGGTGTCATATGCACTCTCCTTTCCCACAACCTCACGTCCTCCTTAACCATGAACCCAGCCCCAAGCCCTTCTCCTTAAGAGAGTATGGCATCAATGTTTCACATCCACTCCTCCCTCCCCCAACCCCATACCAGCTCTCTCTCTCTCTCTCATGGCATCATTGTATAATTCCCCACAACCGGCTTTATGGCGAAAGCTGTTCAGACGGTCCCTTTGAATATCAACCCTTCGAGGGAAAATATGGTTTCACAAAGTCTCAGCAAAGGGAGAAGTTGACAAAAAAAATTCAAGCTTGATTGTAATAATCTTTTGAGTTCTAAAAAACAAATAACGACATCAGAGGTACTGATACAATGTCTATAGATCACATGATCATATTAATGGTGACAGGAAAAAAAAAAAGAATTAGGGTCACAAAGCTTATCTCTTGCAACCAAATATTCCATATGAAGATTTGAGTCGCATGTTAATGCGTGTAACACTTTGACATAGTCAAAGTACAGCTAAACGTTATTAACACTTTATATACGTGACGATAAATTGAATCACATCCGTCTTGGAGAGAACCTCCAATCGACCCGTATCATCATTTGGTTAGTGTAATGAAGAGGATGGTATAATCTATATTAGCGTGTTAAATTCGAGGCACTGTAGTGTTATTAAAGCATGCACGTGAAAACTCCCAAAAAAAAAAAAAAAAAAATCATCTGTGTGAGGCTAACCGTCTCTCTACCCCAATTTCCAGTGTTCAAATGAGATAAACTTTGCTATGTATGACAAAAACCTTTAGGGAAAGTATATAATGTGACTTTACCTTTGCTACAAGATGCCATTGGATGTGAAATTAAGTGCCTGCATTTATTTCATTGACCAAGCTCAAAGTTCAAAAAAAAAAATTTTAAACTGTGACACATCCAAGCTATCAGATTTCACATCGAATGATTGTAAGTAATTGTGACCTCCCTATTCTAAAGGTAAATGGTCTCATTCTATACAATCTCAAAACTTTACTATTTTATTTTTAAAAAATAAATGCATGTACTACCTAACCCTATTAGCTTTTTACGCCAACGAACTTACACTTGGGATACTCATAGACACCGACACCACTTTGGTGTCCATGTAACACTAAATCACAAGAAGTGGAAGCGTAAAAGGCCGTTTGGATACGCGGAAATCTATTAGATAACCATAGGTTACAAGGAATTATGACATTTATACTATTTGTGTACAATTTACCAAGATTTTCTCCAAAATCACTAAATCTATCTGTATTAGATTACTCAAGATTTCTCCAAAAATCACAAAATCCATTAACCAAGGTGGCATGAAAATCTAGTACGAGGTTGATAGATAATCTTTAGAAATCTTTCGACTGCCCTATCCCTATTTAGAAAAACATTTCTCTCTCTCAAATATACGTTGTATTGTATAATTATTAAGGTATAATTATTAAGGTATGCAGAAAGTGAAAGTAAGGGATATAAAAAAGAGAATCTAAATTGATTTGAACAGGTGTACAAAGACAATTTTGTAATGCAATCATAATAAAACATTTCTACATCCCTATGTCCTCAATTTGGGTTATAGCCCTCATTTGACTTTCATCTAAAATTGGTACGTGAAAATAAAAAAAATCAAAATTGATTTGAACAGTTTAGAACTTGAGCGACAATTTTTTACTGTAATCATAAAAAAAAAAATTATACATCCCTCTATCCCCAATTAAGATCCCCAATTAGGATGGTAGCCCACCATCAGCTCTCACATAAAAACAAAAACAATAAAAATAATAATTGATAATCAATGAGAAATTGCACAACGTATTCATAATAAAAAATTTCACACAACATAATCATCATAAGAGATTAGTTAAACCTCAATTGAAATAAGATACCTCTTTCTCATCCGATGCTTCAAAATTTTCTACTGCAATTACCAAACCTTCTTGTTTACCAATCAAACTTCTTCCTATTTTTTAACTTGTATCATAAAGATTTTGATTTTGCTATCATAAATTTATTGCTTATTTGACATTATATATAGAATGATATTTGAAAGACTTCTATAAAAAATAAATAAAAATAAAGCTTATCACAATAAAATCATGTTATTCCAATCATATTATTCTAATGACTTATCATATTGAAACCAAAGTCTAATCATGTTAGCCAAACATAGCCATATTTTTCATATTTCGATAGTAATGTATTTTTCATATTTCTTCTAGACATACCAGACATAGCCAAACAGTAGCAATATATTTCCCAAGTTGCCTCTAAATACTACCCTAACAGTGACAATCTATTTGCAGGTAATGTATTACGCAGTAATGTATTACGCCCGTAATATATTTCACAGACAATATATTTCCAAGTATCCAAACGGCCCCTAATAGATTGGATTATCATTTCTTAGGAACACAGGCAAGGAGTATAAATCAAAGTCAATCAACATTTCTATGTTGGTAATCTGGTATACATGCCCAAAAAAGTTTTTTCTGAGCTTCGTAATGAATTCCGCTGCTATTAAAAGGTAATAATGCCAGAATGATGCCTTGACGACAATACGAGCTTGCAAGTTGAATTTCTCATAATGAATTATGAGGTAGGTAGTGTACCAGATTGACATAACTAACATCCCCAGAATACTAATCACTAAAAGAACATCTCGGCATTGGGGTTAGAGATGTAAAATGCAAGCATTACCACCTGAACTTCCTTGCAGATCCTACAGTGCTGGAAAATAAACCACCCTCATTTGTGCAATGATAGGCTCCCAATTTTTGATTGAAACCCTTCGGTGTATGCAGTATTCTTGAAAGTCATCTGAAATTAGAACGCGGTTGTCAAACCAAGGTAAGAGTGGAATACCATCCTTGAGTTTTCTTTGTTAACTATGCCAAACCTCTAAACAGATTAGGCATGGTATCAGAGGGGATAAAAACCACACACCAGTGAAGAACTCACCACGAGATTCTCCAAATCTAGTGTCAAGCGTTTCCTGATAGTGTCAGAGAGCACATTCCCAAGTTGCTTCCCATGCTTCTGAATAGAAGCCTCACTAACCTGCAGGATTTATTTCCTCCAAGTCAACATCTATGGCATGATATGGGACACAGTTAAGAGCAATGAGGGCTTCCAATAGAATCTACTGATCACCTCTGCTTGGAGTATTGCAGATGTTTTATCCATGATTTCATTCACAAATTTTTGTACATCTGCTACACCAGTAGATGGATTCTTATCTCCTGAAGGCTTCTTAGTTACCCCATCCCCAGCAGGCTTGGACTTGTTACTGATCTTTTCTGTGCCTGCCAAAGCAATGATCGTAATAATATAAGTTGAGAATTTATAAGGGGAGTCATTTCATGAAACAATTTCATAATAATATAATGAAAACCACTCCTAAAATATCACGTTAGAACCCCAAATTTTGCATTCACACTCTCTTCATCCCAACAATCTCTAATAGAAATAATAATAATTACACTCTAAAAAGTAGTTTTTCAATAATAATAGGAATGTAAGGCTTCCATTTGATGGGATGGTAGGTCGAGGCCTTAGTTTTTTTTTTTTTGGCCCAAATTTTGTCGATGGCCTTAAAGTAACCAGTTGTGCAATTCAGAAAAAGAAAAAATAGATTTTTATTTCTTAAAGGTCAAATCTAACCATGCATCAAACGGGTGGCCGACAATCATTGTTAAAGTGGGATTCATCTTGACCTTTTCTAGGGTGCAAATTCATTTCTTTTTTTTTGAGATTGATAATTGGGATGAGGAGAGAATGTTCAAAATTTGCCTAATATGATTTTTGAAAAACTTCTTTCATTATATTACTAACTGTTTCATAAAATCACTCCCCTATATCAATACCTAAGGGTGCACATGCTGCGATAAAATAACTGCACTTATTAACTAATGTAAACTAACAGTCAACACAAACAGGCGCACACAGTACTATGAAATTACTGTGCTTAGATGTCTCTCCCTCCAAGCATATAAGGACCTTCCAATGCAAATTAGAAGAATATGAGACTCATAATCTTCTGTCAGGATGATGAGAATTGCAAGAACGATAGAAGAATAAAGTGATTCAGTAAATAATTCATAGTACTCATAGAATGCTTGCTAAAAATATAGAAAAACATAGCTCTGAGCTTGGGGGATCGACTCTCAAAATTTTATCTCAAAACATAATTGAACATAGTTATATGAAGTATTAGAGCTTTATGAGGCCTTTCTTCTACCAAAATCTAGATACATTCTTGACATTATTTAATGCAATCAAGAATATTGAAAGAAAACGAATTAATTTTCTGATTAGTTCTGAAAATTCTTGCAATTGCTTCTTATAAGAAGTGGCCTAAATATCAGTTACAACCCAACTTAGCATTTGATAATTTTGCAATAGGAAACTAAATTTAGCATTTCATAGACTGTTACCTTACTCAGAAAAAAAAAAAGAAAAAAAAGCACTTGATAGAAACCAAAATTAAAATTAGTCCCCTGTTTAGGCACTAGGCTATGGAATAGAACCCAACTTTAGCATTTAAAAGGAATGCATTAGTAAGCAAAATGGTTATAATGACGAAACAATCAAGTTATCAGTCTGGGATTCTAAATAATGAGGTTGACGACATGGAACAAGTCTTTCTAAACGTTTCATTAGTACTATTACCTTGAAGCTCCATCAATTTCTTCTCTCGAGGCATATGGTTCTCTGCAGCAATTTGGATCGGTGTCCCTTGTTGTGGTACATCTAGTGATTTCACAATCTCAGTTGGAACAAGAGTAGCAAGATCTGGTGGTTGGTCCTTCCCAACAGGAACAATAGCCTACAATTAAGGCATCATTAGTTATCTGCAATCTTAAAAGAATCATTAAAGAGAGGGCACAAACTGGGCCATTTAGAATTTTAGACTTACCTCAAGGTCCACATACGAGGGACTTCTTCCAATTGAAATTAGAAACTTGTCAAGGTCGTTGGCGGAGAGGGCTGGAACAAAAAAAAAAGGAATACTAACGAACTACAAAACAATCGGGCAAAGAAACAGATGAAGGGTAAAGATGCACGTTCAATTTCCCACAGCAGTGTTCCACAACTTGGCTTGGGCCAAGAACTCGGCCGTGGCCCGAGCTGAATTACTCAGGTGAATCCGAGTGGCACTAAACATCCTTGGGAGGGACCGTGATCCGTCTCCATCATGTTATCTCCTCTCTCCTTCTCTTTTGTCACTCCCTCTCTCACACCACTTCGTTTATCCCTCTCACTCTCTCACCACTCTCATCCATCCCTCCCTCTCTCACTCCCATCATGTTTCCTCTCGTTCGTCCCTCCCTCTTGCCCTCTTGCATTCTATCCCTCCCTCTTGCCCTCTTGCATTCTATCTCTCCCACTTGGCTTCTATCTCCCTCTCTCCATCCTCCTCTCTCTCTCTCTCTCTCTCTCTCTCCTCCTCCTCCTCCTCTCTCTCTCTCTCTCTCTCTCTCTCTCTCTCCCTCTCTCTCATTCATCCCCTCCCTCCCTCTCTCTCACCATTCATTCATGCATGTGCCTCTCTATGCTCATAGTCTCTAGTTCAATTTTTTTCAAAATTACATTTGGGTTCTCTTCTCTCACATACCACAGATCCTAATTACCTAGGATTCATTTCCCTAGATTCCTATAATCCAAGCACTAGGTAGATAAAAATATGAGAAACCATGCAATAAGCATTCCATTCGCTCAAAATCAGTCAATGTCCATATTCATCCATAAAAATAAAACAATGAACCACCCAATAAATATCCCATTTATTCACAAAATACAAGTGACTACGTTAAGCTAAAAGAAGCATGCAAAGAGTCGTGTCCATATTGCACCAATTATGTATTTAAGCATGGTCCAAAAATTAGTAGATAAAGTCATCATGAGAGAAAAGGAAAAGAAGTAGAGAGATGAGATAGAAGGTCCCAAAACAATACCCATGGAAAGGAATATTGTTGCCAAAAAGTCCATACTGAAATATACGACTACCAAAGAGGAAAGTCGACATTCCGTACCCCCTTCACAAAAAGCCCATACATATCCCCACAAAAAGCAATCATAGTTAAGCCTGAAATTGGAGTATCGCACACAGGCTCCAAAAAACAATTGGTGCCAATATAGTGGGCTAAGAAGCGAGTTCGCCCCATTGTGTCTCAAGAAGCGACCCGCCTAGCACCTAGGCAGGCCAGGGGGGCCTGGGCGCATCACCCAAGCCTAGGCGGGTATCTAGGCGACCAATTAGGAGTCTGGGACCCCACTAGGCGGGCGCCCAGCACCCAAACCTGGGCGGCCGCCCAAGGGCGAAAATGTCCCTCGTTTAGAGGCATTTTTTATCCTTTTACCCCAAAATAAGGAGGAAATGAGGGGTTTAGATTATTGAAAACGAGGCATTTTTAATCTTTTTACTCCTAAATAAGGGGGAAAAGAGGGGTTTAGGTTCTTGTGTGACCTAAACCCCTTTGTTTACCTTTAGACTAGAATATTTTTTCAAAATAATTACTTTTTTTGCATTTTTAAGAGATCAATCGGGTATTTTAGAGTATTGAGAACTCCATCCAAATATCATCTTTTTGGTTTAGATTTGAATTTGATGGTTTTTTAAGTTTATTAGAGGATTTTTTGGAAGCATTTGAGATTGGGAAACATCTCAAATATTGAAGATTGAAGATCAAGCAAAAAGGTTAGTTAAAAATCTTCATATTTGAGATTTTATTTGTTATTTCAATAACTTCTTCGGGCTATTCTAGAAGTGGTGATCTGGGTTGGACAAAAATTGTATAAGATGTAATTATTGCAAAAAAGATATTGATCGGGTATAAAACGGTACAAAAAACACCTTGTTGATATTAGGGGGAATGTTGCCCATTGTAAAAATGTTCCTGAAAGCTATTAGAGAGGAGATTAAGCAATATATGAGTTCCGTAAAATACAAAAAGAAACAAAAGCCATGACATTTGGATAGATCTATTTCTGGTTCGTTTAGAAGTGGTGATCCAGGTTGGAACTATGGTTATGTCCTGAATCCAAATGATTAAAATTGTATAAGGTGTAAAATACCAAAGGGGCATTAACCGATTCAAGAAACACCATGCGGGTATTAAAAGGAATGGTGTTTTTTGTACAAATGTTCTAGAAGCTAATGGGGATGATATTAGACAATATTTGAAATTAGTAAAACTAGAAAAGGAAGAAAAAGAGCCTTGTTTTATGGAAATATCTTCTACCGGTTCTTCTAGAAGTGGTGTTCTGGGTTGGAAGTATAGTCATAACCCAAATCTGAATGACAAAAATTATATAAGTTGTAAATATTGTGGAAATGATACTAATGGTTGTATATATTGGTTCAAGAAACACTTTGTCGGTATAAAGGGGGATGTTGCCCAGTGTAAAAATGTTTTTGAGGCTACTGAGGAGATTAAGCAATATTTTAGTTAAGTAAAACACAAAAAACAAGAAAAGGGTGAAGAGGCACCAGATAGAGCAGCCAAAACTCCTAGGGCCTCATCTGCACAGAGTAAGAGATGGGTAGAAAAAAGGGAGGGAGACGCAGATTCAGAAGAAACGGAGAAGGACGAGTGTTATGTTCAAGAGGGAAATGACTCTGATGATGATGGACTAGATTCTGATGCATGAGGCTTATGATGACTGAGTGTTGAGTCTTAGACTGTATATTTTCTTTTACTTTTCTAGTTTTTCTACTTATCTACTCTTATGCGTATGCCTGTATGGTTGTATCATTGTATGGAACGATGGACTATGGAGCATGGAGTATGGTCTATAGAGTATGGATTATGGATTGTGCATGTATTACTAATTTATTAATTGTTATTATATTTTATTTTTGGTTGTGCTAGTAGTCTATCTATTACAAATTTACAATGGTTTGGAACTTTTTGGATTATGGGATTTCTAATATTTTATGAGATATACTCATATTCTCTTATCCCCTGCCCCTCTTCTTCAACCTAGGTCCTAGGCCACCCAGAAATCTAGGTGCTTGCCTAGGCCCTTGGCGGCCAAGACCCCCATGAGTGCCTAAGTGCCGCCCAACATTTTTTGAAACATTGATGCCCCAAGATGGGGGTCATCATTTTCCATTAACCCATATAAATCTGGGTAGAAGGTATGGCATCCAAATTATAAGTGGTAGATGAGCTAGGGATTTAAGAGATGGTCCAACTCATTGTGAATCCTCTCTAGCTTAACTCTGAGTTGGGCACACTCTTGCTTGTGCATCTTAGAGGTTTGTTGCCCGGTGAGCAAAGATTGAGTTAACTCAAGATTGTGGGTTTCCATGGTATTGCAGTGCCTCTGCAGGTCTTGCAATGTTTGGGAAAGGGCAGGTAAGTGGTCTATAAGGAGAAGTGCTTCACGGGCCGTAGATTTCTTTGTGGCTTTTTTGGTAAAAGTAACCTCGCCATATATAGTCTTGCCTCAAAGGGTCGCAGAGACTGACTAGCCTTTCCAATAGAGGTTTGTACTCATAAATAAAATATTGGGCAAGGATGCTCTTTCTTTTTGTGTTTTTTGTTATAAAAGATTCTCAAACAAAATTGGTCCTTTTGGAAGCTGGTGAGGAATTGCAGGAGGTCGAGGAGGTTGAGGTTGACGAATGCTAGGCTGAACAATAGAAAGTCCAAGATTAAGTTTCGCCAAGTCCTTCTTCGACCATTAATACCTATACAAAAAAATTGTTCGAGCAAAGGCCTTATGTCGTTTTGCACTTGCGGGTTACGACCTTCCCCCCCGGCCCCCTCTATCGCTTTCTCCCTCTCCCCATGCCGTTTTGCACTTGCGGGCCCCCCTCTCTCACATATTGTTTTGTACTAGGAATACCCCATCTGCATCATCTCTTGCTGACCTCCTCTCTCTCTACAACTGTCTTGGACTTGAGAAAACCCCATCTGCATCATCTCTGCCTGAACTCTCTCTTCTCTATCTAGCTAACTGTTTTATTCTCTGAAAATCTCTCGACTTCACTGTGTAGGGCCCAGATAGTGTAGGTCGACAGAAAAGGTACGTTGAACACCTACGTAAGGAGCTCTCTTTCTTCCGAGCACATTTGGTCATCCTAACACACCTCTCCCCTCTCTCACCCCATCTGTATCACTCCCTTGCCCTCTTAATCATTCTTGTATTTTCTATGCAAGCCTCCCCAGATTGTATCCAGGACACGCACGACTAAAGGTGAGGCCTTTACCGTTCTCTTTCTTACTTATATTGTTGAGACAAACGGGTTTCCTTATTTCGTTTGTACAATCTCTCTTTCATTCAAGTCACTGCCCGACACTCATGGCACACCCCCCACATTCGTCTTTCTCTTGAATCCCATTTTACTTTCTTTTTTGTTGTTCCTTTTCTTAATACATTACTTCATAGAACATGGATTCTGCCCCTAACGACACTACCACAACGGCAATGCCCCTGAGGGCACTGCCCTCATGAGTAAACCAAAGCCAAGGAGGTCCTTATGAAGACGGAGTTGTTTTAATATGTATGAGGTTCGATCGATATATGTCAGACTCAACGCATCTCTAGGGTGAGTATGAGCACATGAAGAAACGTATTCATGCAATTTGCATAACACTTTTAAAGTCCAAGGCAGATGTGGAGAAATTGCAACATGAGGGTGAGGTGTTTAAGGGTGGTCTCAAGAAGCTTCGATCCTCGATCTATAAATACTTAGACTGATGAGAAGTTGTCTAGGACCACTCCTCACTAGCTTGACATTTGAAGTTTGTAGTTGAACTTTGAACTTCATCACAGCTTGAGTCTGTTTGGCTGACTTTAGATGCAGGGGCCATTGGTTGCCTCCTGAAAGTTTTAGGTTTTTTTTTTATTTTTTTCCCTATATCAAGTTTGTGTCTTCATGGATTTTCCCTTTTATGGTTCTTTACACGGAGTTTGAGTCTTCATAGATTTGCTACTTTGGCTAATAGTTACTTGGCCCCTACACCCTTGGGTTGTGGACTCCTATTTCTGGTACCATCTACTGAAATATCAATATAGTAATGTCCTCCCAACGTACTACTGGCTTTCTATGATTAGATAGATACATTTTTACATGTTTGAGTTGCATTTTATGTTCTAAAAATGGAAAAAATGGATGTTATATATTACTGTTTTTTAAATGTACTGTTAGTTTGCCTATGTGTATTGTTGGATTATCTGGACGCTTGTAACCTAGCTTTGGTTCGGCTATGTTCAAATGTGTGATTATACCATCTGTTTTTCTTATTTGGTCCCATGCTTGCACGTTAGATCTCTCGTGCCTTTTTCGCTTCATCATGCCCTATAACGGTTCTAACGTACCTTTGTATGTTTACTGTTGTCTTGTTAAATTTTGCTTCATAGGGAAACTAGGTGGCAATGGCATATATATTATCGTTTGGTCCTGTTTTATATAATTATCAGTTATATATAAATCCCGCTTCCTTTTTTGCTTGAAATTTTTTTTTTGTAGGTATATATATTACCGAAGAAGGACGCGGTGGAACTTCTCTCGGATTTCCTATTGGTCCGCCTAGCATTCACCAACTTCAACCTCCTGCAGTTCCCTGCCTACTTCCAAATAGACCAATTTCGTATATAAATCTTTTACAACAGAAGGCACAAAAAGAAGGAAAATGCCTACCCAATGTTTTATTTATGAATACAGCCCTCTATCGGGGAGGCTATTCAAAGCCTCTGTGATCCTTTGAGGCAAGACTCTATGTAGTGAGGTTGCTTTTACCAAAAAAGCCACAGATATATCTGGTACCCGTGAAGCACTTCTCCTTATAGACCACATACCTACCCTCTCCCAAACATTGAAAGATCTGCAGAGCGACTACAATGCCATGGAAACCCACAATCTTAAGTTAACTCAATCTTTGCTCACCGAGCAACAAACCTCTAGGATGCACAAGCAGAGGACTGTGCCCAACTAAGAGCTAAGCTTGAGATACTATCAAAATATTAAAACATCTAGACAAAAAATAACAAACTTAAAAGAAATAAAAAAAGAATTTAAAGAAAATTTTAGTGAAAATCCACTAGAACTGTGGGATAGAGATAAAAATGAAATGTGAATTAAGAATGATAAATGAGATAGAATAATAAGAGTTAAACCTATGCCCTATACACCACAAGATAGAAAATAATTTGAAATACAATTAAAAGAATTGGTAGAAAAACAATTAATAAGACCTAGTAATAGTCTGCATAGCTCTCCAGCCTTTTTAGTAAGAAACCATGTAGAGATAAAAAGAGGGAAGGCTAGGATGGTTATAAGCTATAAAATGTTAAATGATAACACTAAGTTGGATGGATACTTTATCTCTAATAAAGAAGTATTAATTAATAGTATTCAAGGAGCTTGTTGGTTTAGTAAATTCGATTGTAAGTCAGGATACTGGCAAATAAAGATGGAAGAGAAATAGTATTCTTTATACAACATTCAGTGCTCCACAAGCGCAATATGAATGGCTAGTAATGCCATTTGGATTAAAGAATGCTCCTCAAATATTCCAGAGGAGAATGGAGAAATATTGACCTCAAATATTCCAAAGGAGAATGGAGAAATATTGACCTCAAATATTCCTGAGGAGAATGGATGAAATACTTAAGAAACATAGAAAGTATTGTTTAGTGTAGGTAGGAGATATTTTAGTGCATAGTAAAAGTAAAGAAGAGCATAGATATCATTTAAAAGCAATAAGCAAGAAGAAAATATAAAAATACAATATACCCCCGCAATGCTTGGGTTATTCTGGTCATTTTATTTTTTTCAAGCGTTTGTTTTATATTTTATATAGGTGCTTGAGGATTAGAAGTATAAATGCCCCAAATTTCAGCTCAATTCCCATGAATATATCTTTCAAAAGATGGATAAAATTCAAATACTTAGACATGCACTCAACCATTCGATCAAGAACAGTTGAGATTGACAGTGAGATGAACTACAGTGTGGACCATTTGGTCATTTCAAAAATGTTGGCTTATCTTTACCCATTTTTATTTTTTTCCAATATCAGATAGACATGAAATTTGACGTGTGCGCGCGCCTCACTGGGGCTCTTTTACAAAAAATATAAAAAAATAACTCAAGCAAGATAAAATGATTAGAATACCCCTCAAAGTTTAATTTGGCCTTTTTTAAAAAAATATCTTTTTATATTTTTTAGAGGTGCATGAGGGTGCGAAGTATGGATGCCGAAGCTTTTAGCTCAATCCAATATATATACAAATAAAATTTAAATGTTCAGATGTGCTCTCAACCGTCTCTTTTAGGGTGACCTATAACCATACTATTTTTTCTTTTTATATGATCTAGACCTTCCAATTTGTTAAACATGTTGTGGATGAGCTATGATTTTGAAATTTCATTCATTTTCCATCAATGAGAACTTCAAGAACAGCTAATATTGTCTACTTTCCAGAACTCCAAGTTCATAGAATTCTAGGTTCAATCAAGCGCAACATGTTCCCAGGCTTCCTAGAATTTCAAAAAAGTTATCAAACACAGTACTTCAATGGCTAGACTGCTAATTTCAAGCTTCAGGAAGTCCAAAACTAACAACTCCCAGGTAATTTCCAGCTTCCAGTTATCAAAAAGGCATGCCCACAAAGAAAGTTGTATTTTAACCGAATTTAATAGAGAAAGTTACTTCATAAAAAAAGTTTCATAAAGCAGCAACAAGAAAAAAAATACAAGAACTAATAAATAACTAAATGCCACTTACAAATAGTCATATCATTGGAAAGTGGATGAAATAAGCACTTCTGAGCTTTCAAACCTTGGTCCAACAATAGTGCAACAGATCTACAGAGAAAATAAATTGCACTGCTTTAAAACAAAAATAACAAAAATATGAAGTATAAAAAATAGGTAACAAGATTTAGGGCTACTGGAGAATCAGTGAAATTCATATCTTGTTGTGCGGTACACAAAATAATAATGCAGTGCATTTATTTGAATTGTAAATAAATCTATGACTGATGAGAAGAGTAGATAAAAGCAATGTTACATGGATGCTAACATGCGTGTTAGTATTTAGTACATATTTTGTAGTATCTTGTATGTGACGCTAAAATGCCAATACTTTTGAGACACGTATGTACAACCATTTTAAACAATATAAGTATATAGCTTCCCTTTGGCACACAAAATGCACAGCGTCGTGGTGGTAGCGTGCGTCTTCTTTGAGCGTTGCCTAAGAGGTTACGTGCTCCAACCCCACCTACTGCCTTGTTTATTACTTCCGTTTTTTAAAAAGGTTTAGCTAACAGATAAAATAATGTCTTCTCAGTATAATCAAAACGGCTTTGTGGTTTGTGGTAGCATCTTGTTCTCATGTTCAAAATGTCCCAAGTTCAACTTGCACGGGCGATGGTTTTTTGTATTTATAAAACTGCTTACAAAGAAATAACAAAAAAAAAAATGTTCAATTGTGGGGAATGGAACTTAAGACCACACTTGTCTCAATTGTTACTCTACCGCCAAAACCGTATACCATATATGTCTACAAAAGGGCAGACACTTATATATAATGTGTAAATACGTATTAAAAAATTGATGATGTCATCAGACACGTACAGTCAAGTGTCTCTGACATGTTTGCGTGTCGACACCAAACAAATTTTGAAGTGTCTGGGTAACATTGGATAAAAGGTGAAGGGAGTTTGCTTGAAATATGAATAAGATTGATATATTTGAAAATTAATGACATCATCAAAGAGGTCATTCTTACAGGCTTTAAAATTGTAAAACGTATGTTTGAACTTTTTCATTTCTAGGAAGACAATGCTCTGGCAATAATCTGATCATACTTGTAGGACAACACCATGCAGGCTTGTGAACTTAACATTGTCTTTCTTGACATGATGCCCCTGGGAACTCCATGAACAGTTCTTCAGGAGCTTTCTCCTAGTCTTCTGTGTAGCTGGTTTGACCTCAGGGTCACTATTATAATGGCTACATTGTCTTTTTCCCGCTAAGGGTTTTCTTTTCTTTCACCTGTTTTGTGAGTGATCGACCTTTGTTTATTCCCCTATCCTCAATACATCAATTAATATTCTCAAAGAAAAGAAAACCATCAATACTTCAATACAAGAATATAGTTTACTGAAGAAAGGATCATCCAAAACATTATGTGAGAACTCTTGGACAGAAAAAACACGTCATTTAAGAAAGGGTAAGGCTTGTTTAAGGTGTCAACTTTATACTATTGAAGTGAAGTGTACCTCAAAACTGTGCCGAAAATGCAGTTTCGGTGCCGCAAAGCCTTGCAATGATATGAAAATCTATTGTATCCCCCTGATTATGAAATCTAAAGTTTCAGAAATGGTGACAATCAAGCAGATCTATAAATGCTTGAAACCCTTGAAAATGGACGATCTAGATAATGTGTTAGAAGATGACCTATTTTTAGAACTAGAAATCCTCTTTTTTTCATGTCTGTAAATCTTGACAATGGGATGACCAAGTTAAGAGTTTTCCAACATAAGAACAACCTTCTCTAATGGGTTTTTTGGGTGCACCTCACTTGTACAGTATAAGGTTGACACCTCATATAACTTTTTCCTTTAAGAAAACCAAAATTTTCACTAGTCATAAAATGAGCATCCACAAGAATCATTTCACAAGAGAACTACCAATTCAACAACACCATGATGTTATTAATTAGTGGATGCCCTAAAGTCCAGGTGCTTTGCACTTCAATGTCAATTTTGAGCAAGGTTTGAAAATTCAGCAATTCAGATTAGAATTGCCTAATCCAAATCGGGAATTGCCCTAGGCAATTCGGTTCCCACAATATATTGGGAACTGGCCGTCTCTCCCTCTGAACCGGCCGATTCACTGTAGAAACTTGCTGATCCCTGTCAGAAACTAGACGATTCTCAAAATGTGCATGCTTTCCACTTTCTTCAAATTTTTATTGCTTAAATTGTTTTCAAAACAGAGCTTGGGAACCATCCTGTTCAATTGTCCCATGCACCAACTCATTACATGTGGGCCTCAACTGAGAAAACCACCTTTATTTAACCTTTCATGTTTCTCCTCAGTTTTTTATTTTTGCTAAATAACCTGATTGTCAACTAAAAGATTTTTTGTTAAATAATTTTTCTATTTTAATGTCTATAATTATGACATCATCATGATGCCAGAAACTTAATCAGTTCGAACAAAAGTCAAACCAAATAAGACCAAACAAGCCACATGATCCATCTTCTCCCATGATAATTCTTTTGACATTTTCCACTGCTTGAATAAAAAAAAAGCCAGTGATATAACAGGCTCGCCATCGCTAACTGTACTTAATGACCTTAGTTATTTAATTGTCAGATGAAAAAAGACCTTGTTCTTTGATCTTAAAATAACTTTCATAGACTTCAAAAGGAAAAAGAAAAAGAAAAAGAAAAAAGATGAAAATATTTCACAAAGTCCACATCGGTCTGCAGCACATAAATACAAAACTACCATCACCTAAAAGGAAAACAAATAAACATATAATGGTATAAAATATATATAGCAGTATATAAATGGCACTCATGAAGTTCTATGACTAGTAAAATTGAGCAAAACAAGCTACAGAAAAAGTTTGGACAAAGAATGAACTGTACCTTGCACTCTCATTAATCAAGGCGAAGGGAGTCACACAACCCAAAGGTACCTGTAAAACCAAACATGCTCATAAGAGCAACGAGATAGATATCAAAACATAAGCAGCTTTTCAGGTTTTTTATATTGCATTTGATAGACAGGAACTCTATAAACCTTACTGTTCAACTATCAATGAAAACTTAACTCCTAAAATTTCTCCTCAACACCATCCGCATTCCAATCGCATTCAGGAGATAACAGGCATGAGTTAAGAAATGAAAGAAACCACATATATTGACAGATACATAGTTCAAAAGTCCATGTAAGAACTAAGAAGCCTGAGAAAGGTAATATATATGCATGCATAGGTATATGGTCAGATAGACAACCATATGACATAACTTACCTTCATGTCTAAAGGAAAAAAAAAATCTTCAAATTTACCACTCAAAATATGAATGAAAACTACTGAGAATGATACATGATGAACACAAAACTCATAATCACCCTGGTGTCCAAATCTTAATTACGTGTAATAAAGTTGTCGATAAGAAATAAACAGATGATCACGCTGATCCTCATCACTTGCTACAAATATGTATGCTTGTGTTTGTGTGTGTGTGTGTGTTTGAGAAAGAGAGAGAGATTCATCCCCATAAAGTAACGAATGATCACATAATCACAATGTACAGGAACTACTGCAGACTCATTCATAGAAAGCTATTGCATAAGCAGTTTGGTAAAAGACTCACCTGAAGTACTTCTTGAAGAGATTCTTCAGGAGCCATCCGCAGTCCACCCTTTCCCAAACCAAGCCGCTGAGACAAAACTGCACGACTTTAAAGCCACATACTTCATAAACCAATATCAAGTAGAAAAGCAAAATACAGAAGCATATAAGAAAAGATTCACCATCATCATCATCATATTAAAAGAACAGGAAATTTTAGCATAATAAGTTGCTCCCGTAGCATAACTTGGGAAAAACTATGTCAGAGAAAAAATGAGCATAATACCTTTCAGGTCAACTTTGGTATCAGCCAGAGCTGAAACAACATACAATCTATGCTTCTTATCCTGCATCAAACACCCAAAAGAATGACAATTTAGAAAACTAGAGCCCACAGAATATAGCAGATCCCACCGAATTCATAAACAAATATTCTATAAAAGTCTAACCTTCAGGAACAAATTCTTACTCAGTGCACTTCCCAAATGGCCAACATACTTAGCCTGCCATCGAAAGTGTTCATGAGAATAAACCCTGACAATCTAATGCAAATTCAGAAGCTTTCTTAAAACACAAATTCAAAGCAATTTAATTCAAGGTTATTATGAAGCAACCATCTACCTGGGCTTCAAGAGTAAGAACAACAGGGTGCTCATAACTAACAAAATGAATTCCAAGTTCCTGCATGCAAGCGAATTGGATAAGAGAACAAACATCTAAAAGTCCCTTCAAAACCCTAATAAATTTCATATGCAAGATCAAATTCGGGGTACAAGAAAAGAACGGGGAGGGTGAATCTCACTCGTATGAAGAAATATTGGAGTGAAAATTAGGGCAAAAGAAGCATAAATCCAAGATAAACTCCATGAACAGAAACACTCGATCTAGCTTAGGAGGCCTTTAGGAGTATTTCCTCAGACAGAGAGCGTACAAACGTTCAAATGAAAGAGAGAGAGAAAGTGAGAGAGCGACAGCGAACCTGCAAACGAGCAAGCAGCAGCTCCTTAGAAAAACCCATACTCCACAACTAAGCCCGGCCCGTCACTGAGGAGTATGAAGGGCCTGTGAGTTTAAACGAAGAGGTAGAGGTAGAGGGAGAGGGAGAGGTAGGAGGGGCTCTCAAGGTTTCTAACCAGGAGAAGTGCACGTCCACGTCTTTTTTTTTTGGGGTAAGTAAAAAGTGCACGTCCACGTTGCAGACGCTTGCAAGGGTACAGGACCTTTTGATCGGCCCAATTGAATTTATGTCGATACGAGGCACAAATTACCTTAATTTTTTATTTTATTTATAAATTTAAATGACCGGCGAATAAAAAAACTAATTGAAATAAAAAAGCGAAAAGTTCATATACAGCCGAGGCTCAAAACAATCAAATTAGAGTCGGTTGGAAATAGGTTGGGTGAAATAATTGTAGAAAATGGTACAATTTCCAAAATTAGATCTCGAACTCTTTTTGTTTTAGGGCATTTAGGAGCGATATCTCAAGACGATAATTGCCCACATTCGATAGAGTATTTGACTATATAAGAAGAGCAATTCATCATCGGGATATAAAAAAATATAAAGGTCTTTTTCAATGCTTCTAAGCTCTATGCACCTGAGCTTAGAACCTACATGTGTATTAGAGAGAGAGACACAAAATCAAGTAGAGAGAGAGTTGGCTTAGTGGTTTGCTTGCTGGAATTGCGAAGAATTGTATATTGAGAAGGTCTATGATAAAAAATCATTAACTCGTATAGGTAGGAGGTCCCTTGTTATAGAGCACCAAGAGGCTACCCATTTAGTGTTGTGGTGGTTACATGCACCACCCAACAGCTACAAGTTACATGCACCTCAACAACTACAAGTTTAATGCACTTGAGGGGTTACATGCACCCCAATAACTACAAGTTACATGCACTTGAGGGGTTACATGTACCCCAACAGCTACAAGTTACATGCACTTGACGGCTGCTGTTATAAGGCTCTATATCATCAATGGCTAGATAACCGTTGGATGTCCCACACGCATCAACAGCTAGATGACTGTGGATCCCCTACGAACCGGGCTCACAAAAATATAATGTGCCATGAGCCCGACCCACACATGTGCTAGGGCGAGGGGCATCTCATGCGAAGTACAAAGTGTGCCATCAAGCACCCTTGCGCGCCATGCTCTCGCACATGCACATGCATGTACGCATGTGTGTACGAGTCGCATGTTTCGTGTGCTCCACACATATGCCTTCTCTCTCATTTGTACTTAGGGTATAAGCTCAACAAACTCTCTCATCTTCAATGTGGGACTCAAACCTACATTTTTCTCTCTCTACAAAGGCATTTTAGGAAAATACAATAAACCAAAATGGTTGTTTTGAAATACACATAAGCATTTTTCAAATAAAAAATACTAACAAAGCCTACCTCAAAAATTTCACTAGAAGAGGTTGTTTTGATACCAAATATCATCAAATCGGTTATCTCGACATCAAGATGTATGGACATGAGAAAAAATGAATTTCAAGTTTTGGAAATAGTGCTTCTTGTAACACATTTTTTGAGCGTCAATTTTCAAGATTTTCAAGTTTTCATAGATCAGCTCAATTTACACTATTTTTAAATCTTTAAATTCATAATTAAAGATAAAAATATATTTTAAGGCTATCGCGAAATTTTTCAGTATTGAAACCAAATTTCTCAACACTATTTGAAGGTGGGCTCCACTTTGATTGTTTAAAGCCTCGGCTCTATACAAACCGCACCCAATAAAAAAACAGGGAAAAGTTTATATAAAGCAGAAAATTTTACTAGAAGACGTTGTTTTGATGCTCAAATATCCTCAAATTGATCATCTCAATATCAAGATGCATGGACATGATAAAAAAAATGGATTTCAAATTTTGGAAATAGTATATTTTGTAATGCATTTTTGGACCGTCAATTTTCTAGTTTTCATAGATCTATCAATCTACACTATTTTTGAAGCTCTAAACTTTAAAAAATAAAGATGAAAATATATTTTAAGGCTATCACAAAGATTTCTAGTATTAAAACCACATTTCTCGACACTTTTTTAAGGTAGTCTCTAATTTGATTGTTTAGCGATTAGGCTCTATACAAACTGCACCCAAAAAATAAAAGTATCCAAAAAATATTTAGGGTATTTGGTTAATTTTATTTCATAAAACATGTTTTCTTTTTATCAGATGTGCCGTACGATTTTCCGTCATCAAATCCAACTTCAAGTAGATGCTATCATCATCATCATCATCATTTGGCCTTATCCCAACTATTTGGGGTCGATTACAAGAATCTTGATTCGATATTCCACTCTATCAATGGTCATTCCCTCGATTAAACTGCAAGTCATCATATATCTTCTTAGTACTTCTATTTGTGTCCTTTTGGATATTTTCCTAGCTTTTCTACGGCTTTCTAGTTAAACAAAATAACCCCTCCTAACTAATGTTGTTCAAGGTCGACGTTGGACGTGGCCAGACCACTTAATCTTACTTTCCTTCATCTTGCACACATTGGAGCCACTCCTAAGTCCCCTTGGATATATTTATTCTGAATGCTATCATTTCTTGTCTTGCTACTCATTTATCTCAACATCCTCATCTCAGTTGCACTTATTTTATAAATATGTTGTTTTTTGACCGCCCAACAATCAGCCTAAAAAAAACATGATCGGTCTTATAACCGTCCTATACACCTTTGTCTTCAATTTTATTGATATGCAAAGAACAAATAATACTCTGAAGTACATCGCCACTTTGTCCACCGAGCTCTAATTCTATTCTCGACATTTTTCTCAACCTCTCCATAATCATGAACTACCTAAGATATCAAAAATAATCTCTTTGTGATACTTATTGGTCATCAATTTTAACTAATTCCTTATTTTTACTCCTATTATTACTTAACCTGTATTCCATATGTTTTGTCTTAATCTGACTAATTTTAAGCATTTTGATTCTAGGGCATTCCTCCAAAGTTTTAACTTTGCATTGATGATGTCAAACCATTATCATCTGCAAACAATATACACCAGGATGTCTCATCCTGTGAAGATATAGTTAACTCGTCCATAACAAAATCAAAGAGATATACGCTCAACATTGACCCTTGATATAAGCTTACTGTCATTGAAAATTCACTTATTTCTCCACTAGTTGTCCTCATACTAGTTAGCGCTCATTCATACATATCTCTCACAATGTCAATATAGCGTTTAGATGCTCATTTATTTTCTAAAGCTCACCAAATAAACTCTCTAACGTACATATGGTGTGCTTTCTCTAAACTAACAAAGACCATGTGGTGATGTTTTCTATTCTCCCTAAACTTTTCAACCAATTGCTTAAATAGGAAAATAGACTCAATTGTTGATCTCCCTAACATAAAAACTAAATGATTTTTTGATACACTCATTTCTTATCATAGTCATTGCTACATTTCTCTCTCCCATAGCATCATAGTCTTGCTCATAATTTGATCTCAATAGTTGTACAATTTTGTATGTCTCATTTATTCATTTTAAAAAGTATCACAATACTATTTCTCTATTCATTTGGCTTTTTATTTGTTCTCAAACTTTTGTTGAACAGCTTGGTCAACTAAGACATGTCAATCTCTCCCAAGCACTTCCAACCTCTATTAGGATGTCATCCAGTCCTAAAGCCTTTCTATCTTTACCTTTTTCAAAGCTTCTAACACTTTAAATATCATAATCCAACAAATGTATCTATCACCTCCGACTTTATTTATATCAAATGTTCCTTCTAATGCTATGCTCTCGTAGTAGTCGTCATTTAGAAATTTTTGAAAATATATTCTCCATCTTTCACTGACTTCGCCATCCTTCACCAAACTCCTTGATCCTCACTCTTAATGCGTTTAATATGATCTATATCCCTACACTTTGTGTTTTTCATTTTTGCTAGTTTGAAGACATCTTTTTCACCTTCTCGTATCCTCAATTTATTATATAGATAATCATATGCCTTAAGCTTAGTCATATTTACTATTTTCTAAATATTCTTCTAGGCATTTTTATATTCTTTTAAGTTTTGATTATTTATATTCCATTTTCAAGCTTTGAACATGATCGTTTTTCAAGTTTTGATTATTTGTATTCTAATTTCAAACTTTGAACATGATTGTTTTTCACTAATAATCTTTTGAACATCACTGCTCTACCACCAAGTTTCATTATCTGAATGTATTTTTCCTCTAGATACTCCTAAAACTTATTTTGCCACTTTCTTAATGAAAACAACCATATAATTTCACATAACATTAATTTTGTCATCAAAATTTTAGTTTCCTTCTTTTTATCAATTTATTTTTAAATAAATCTATTTTTTCATTTTTAAAATTCCACCACCTAGTTCTTGTGCACCTATTAATTTCATTCATCCTCTTCTATCTTTTTATGTAAACATTCATAACCATGAGTCTATGCTGCATGGCCAAGCTCTCTACTTGGATAACCATATGGTTTATATGAGATGGTCAATCTACCTTCTTAACTAGAAAGAAATCTAATTAGCTTTTATGTGTTCCATTGTTGAAAATTATTAAATATTTGTCTCTCTTTTTAAAGTAGATGTTTAATATTGTTAGGTCATAAACCATAGCAAAATCAAGAGTAGTATCACCCATGCCATTTATTTCCCCAAATTCATATTCTTGATATACAATTTTGTGTCCTCTACTATCTTTTTCTAGATGACCATCCGCTCTTCATTTGGTGTTCCTGAAACTAGTCCATCTACGTCCTCCCAAAAATGTCTTTTAATTCTATCATCTAATCTTACCAATGGTGCACAAAAACTAATTATATTAATTATATCTTTCTCTAATACAAGTTTAATTAATAAGAGCCTATAACCTTACTCTCTCAATACCTCTTCTATTCTTCCATAAAGTGTTACATTGCCGTGCTCGACTTTTTTTAACTTATCTTTTTGATATGAAAAGAATCAAAATAGGATTTTAGCTTTGGGCATAGTGATGTAATCCTTCACAACTTAACCAATAAAACTAACATTAGGATCCTAAGTCTTTTTCTATGTCGCTCTTCAAAAATTATATTATCTTCAAGATGCAATTCATGCATCTATTTATTTATTTTTTATGTAAAATCATTAAGAAGATCAAAAGATTCCAATTAACAAGCTTTATATTTTAGTTTCAACTTCATTATGGTAATT